CTCCACACATACCCTGTTATCAGGCAACAGTTAGTGCGAGACCACTAATGATCACTCAATCATTGCTCCGTGCCAGGCCCCTCCCCCAAGTGAGCAGCTCTCAATGATGTTGTTTAGTCCCTCAGTCATGTCTGACTCTTCGCAACCGCATGAACTGGAGCCCGCCAGGTTCCTCTGTCCATGGGATTTCCCAGGCAAGAAAACTGGAGTGAGTTGCCATTTCCTTCTCCAGGGGATCTTCCCAGCCCAGGGATCAAACCCACATCTCCTGCAATGCAGGCAGATTCTTTGCCACTGAACCACCTGGGAAGCCCAATTGTCAGTGAGCGACCATTAATAGTCCCTCTCAGCCATTGGTTGGAACTGCAGTAGGGCCCTCCCCAAAGGGAGCTGCTGTCAGTGAGCAGCCATTAGTGGCTCACTTAGCCAACGGTTGATGGAGTGGTGGTCATCAGGTGGAGAGTGAGGTAAAAGGTGGGGATTGAGGTAAGAGATGGAGCCTTGGATCAGCAGGTGAACTGAGGGGCTCAGGGAACAGGCTGGGGGCTGTGTCCTGCAAAACTCCAGAGCCCTGGCCAAGGCCGCCCACTGGCCTTGGTCCAAGCCTTGGGGCAGCACTGAACCTCTCCCTCATCCTTGCCTCTGTGACCTAATGGCGGCAGCAGTCTGCCTATGAAGTCAGTGGGACTTGGCCCTGGCTATTTGGGCAGCCTGAGAAGCCTGAGGGCCAGATGAGTTCTGGGTGCCTGGCTCCCTCAGTGATGACAGCTGGCACAGTCTGGTGACCTGGCCCTGAGGGAGCCTCCAGCTGAGATCTGCCTCCTCTTAGCCAGGATCTGGACCTCAGAAGGTGAAAGTTGTGCCTGGGGACCCCTCCCTTTCTTGTCAGAACAGAGAATTTGTTTGGTGGAGGTTTGCAGGGATGCTGTTACATGACCATGACCTGATCTCAAGAGCAAAGGATCTGACATCAAGAAGTATGTAACAACTCACCATGCCCCTCCCTCACCTTTCCTAGAAAAGGGCTTTGCTGAAAGCTTTCAGGGAGTTTGGGGTTTTTAAGGCACAAGTCACCGTCTTCTTGCATGGCCCTCAGTAAACCCTTGTCTGCTCCAAACCCTGATGTTTTGGTAATGATTAGCTTTACTGTGTATTGGGCACGTGAACTGGTATTTCGGTAATGAGGGCACTGTAGCTGCTTTTGGGTTAAGGAAGACACTGGAGTCAGTCAAATGAAACCAATAGTTATCAGTCATTTTTCAACAGGCATTTCTTGAGAATTGCTGCATTACATGTCACTGGAAATATAAAGATAAATAGTACCTAGTCTCCTTCTCCTGGAAAAATTCAGTGTGGGGCTAATCAAACAGACCAGTTGAATGTAACTGTCACCAAAGTAGCATGGAATTTTGCAAGACAAAGCATACCATAAATCATCTGTATATGATACTGTTCATGTGTTTTAACAATTGTAGGTAACTTCTCTATAGAGCCCATCTCAAATTGTTATTCAGTCATTCAGTCGTGTCCGACTCTTTGAAACCCCATGGACTGCAGCATGCCAGGCTTCCCTGTCCTTCACTCTCTCCCGAAGTTTGCTCAGACCCATGTCCATTGACTTGATGATGCTGTCCAACAACCTCATCCTCTGTCACCTCCTTCTCCTGCCCTCAATTTTCTCAACATGAGGTTGTTTTCCAGTGAGCCGGCTCTTTGCATCAGGTAGCCAAAGTATTGGAGCTTCAGCATCAGTCCTTCCAATGAGTATTCAGGGTTGATTCCCTTTAGGATTGACTGTTTTGATCTCCTTGCTGTCCAAGGGACTTTCAAGAATTTTCTCCAGCACCACAGTTCGAAAGCATCAGTTCTTTGGTGCTCAGCCTTCTTTATGGTCCAGCCCTCACATCCAAAAAACAATTGAGTATCTCTTTCAAGTTTGAATAGGAAATCATTTTAAACAGCAGGGGTTATTTAGGTTAGATAAAAGGAAAATCTATTAGTAAATTAAGTTGCTGAATACTGGAATCTTCAAAAAAATTGCCAGCAGTTTTTCAGAAAATAATCATAATACTTTGAAGGTTTCCATGAATTCTTGGCTCTCAACATGCACTGACCCTCTCACCTAGCAGTAGGATTCAATAAAAGATTGTATATAGTTTCCCTGACCTTTTTATGTGAAAGCATTGGAATAATTTACTTTGAAAGGAAAGCTAGTAGTGCCTTTCCGGGATACCTGCTGTATAAAATTTTCTTCCACACAACTAAACTTGAAGTGAAGCCATTTGGCTCCTCCATGCCCATCTCTGGCATTTACAGGCAGAGTAACTCATATTCTGAACTATAGTGACTCACTGTGGTTACCTGGTTCACTACTCAGGGTGCCTCCATGATCCCTTGTCGTTGTTGTTCAGTTACTCAGTCATGTCCCACTCTTTGCAAACCCATGGACTGCAGCACGCCAGGCTTCCCTGTCCTTCACCATCTCCTGGAGTTTGCTCAAACTCATGTCCATTGAGTCAGTGATGCCATCCAACCATCTCATCCTCTGTTGTCCCCTTCTCCTGCTTCAAATCTTTTCCAGCACTAGAGTCTTTTACAATGAGCTGACTCTTCACGTCAGGTGGCCAAAATATTGGAGCTTCAGCATCAGTCCTTCCAATGACTGATTTCCTTTAGGATTGACTGGTTTGATCTCCTTATAGTCCAAGGGACTCTCAGGAGTCTTCTCCAGCACCACAGTTTGAAGGGATCAATTCTTTGGTGCTCAGCCTTTTTTATTATCCAGCTCTCACATCCATACATGACTACTGGAAAAACCATAGCTTTGACTATATGGACCTTTGTAGGCAAAGTCAAGTCTCTGCCTTTTAATACACTGTCTAGGTTTGTCACTTCTTTTCTTTCAAGGAGTAAGCATCTTTTAATTTCATGGTTGCAGTCACCATCCACAGTGATTTTGGAGCCCAAGAAAATACCTGCCTCTCAGGCTAAAACAATAATACTGACTTAGCCAAAAAGTTTGTTGAGGTTTTTCTGTTATCAGGATGTGTAGACCTATAGATCTCTGTGTGTAGACCTTCTGTGGGGTGCCTTGGAGAATATGGAACTAAGTTATAAGATTGTCCACCAAGAGCTTAAAAGGCAATCACAGATATGCAAAATCACTGCACCGCAAGAACGAAGAAGGAAGGAAATTTAAAATATTGATATTTTAAAGTAAAGTAAGAATATGTCTACAAAAGGTAAACATTTAACAACTGCAATTCAGTGGATTAAAAAAAAACTACAAATGGCTAATTAAAATTTGATTTAAAACCTTTAAATAGAATAAAAATGAGATGCTATTTTAAGCTTATATTTAATTGATAATATTCAATGTTAGCAAGGATTAAAGAGTTGATCAGAGTTATATTTTCTGGTGGAAGTATACAGTGCTTTGTAGAAAGCAATTTGGCCACAGAAAGGGAGAATCCTTAAGTAGTCCTATCTTCTAAGGAAGAATATTGCAATTCTCATATGCTTTATATGTTATATTAAAAGAAACTTTCCTATATCATCTAGGTTTAGGTTCAGCTACATATACTAGAAATCCCCAAATAACAATGGCAAACAGCATAAATGTGATCTGCAAGGGAGACTACAAAACGTTCTTTAGCTGGGCATTAGTACCCAAAATAAAACTGAAATTCAATCATTAAGGAGGAAAGGGAGAATGAGTGTTGGTAGATAAGTAGCAATTTTTGCTCCATTATCCTAGAGAACAAACTTGAATTTAAAAATAATTTTCAAAAAGGCATTAATTTTAAGGGAAAATCCCAGATTTCTAAGATGAGGAAAATACTTTCAAGTTACAAATTGATTCAGATTCCATAGAACAAGGAATGTTATCTACAAAGCTTTGAATTGATGGTTGATGTTTAATCGCTAAATTGTGTCCGACTCCTTGTGACCTCATGGGCTGCTACAGGCTTCCCTGTACTTTACCATTTCCCAGAGTTTGCTCAAACTCATGTCCATTGAGTGGGTGATGCCATCCAACCGTCTCATCCTCTGTCACCTCCTTCTCCTCTGGCCCTCAGTCTTTCCTAGCATCAGCGTCTTAAATGGTTGAATATGCTTTATTAATAATTTACTTTAAAAAGCAAAAGGTGTTATTATATAAAGTTTATACACTCAAGTATGCAAAACACACTCTTAAAAGTGTTTTTTATACTTAATTCATTGTCCATATTTTCCATAATCAACATATTAAAATAAATGCTAAGATAATTGTAGACATTATTTTTAAATACATTGTAATTGAAGACAAATTCCCAGATTTGAGAAACAAGAACTCAAATTGGGAGAGTCCTCATGTTGTTCCAGACAAAATTAATATAAGGGACTAAGACAAAGCCCAATAAAATTTTCAAATTTAAAAAGAAAAAAACCCTATTAACAGTAAGTTGGGAAAAGCAGGTCACCTTCCAATGAACCAAACTCAAGTTGGCTACAGATTTTGTCCTCTACAAAATAAAATGCCAAAAAGTTACGGAGTTTCCACATTATTATCTAGTCATCATCATCAGAAAATATGCCTCTCTTCTGTATATTTCAATAATTTCTCAAAGTCTTCCTTCAAATTACCAAGATACTAATCACAATGAATTCAATAAGAGAAAATTATAGAAGAAACAGACTGGCAATAATCACCAAATCATCTAAAATCTTAAGACTGAGGGTTTGAAAACAATAACTTCTAATGGGATAGGATGAATGCTGAGAAGTCTAAATGATAGGTTTACGTTGGGTTCAAAAACACTAAAAACAAAACAAATTTTGATAACACACATTCAGAAAAAAGTTGGACCATGTGGCCACAAGTGAAGTGAGGCTGTCAGGGGTGGCAGCCTGGGTGGGAGGAATTGGGTGGCAGTTCCTCGGGGTGTCCTCTCTAGCTCTGGCCTTTTCTTCTGGGGTTACACCCTACTTCTCAGTCCCATTTTATTTTTGTCTTTCAGCTGAAACTAAGATCTGCTTCAAATACTACCATGGAGTGAGTGGAGCCTTGCGAGCCACCACCCCCAGTGTCACTGTCAAAAACTCGGCAGCTCCTGTAAGTCCTGTGTCCTCCTCTTTTGTCCTCTTAGAACTAACTCTGGTGCTTCTTTACTTTGCTGTTCTCTTCTTATGTTTTAATGTGTGTGTGCTGAGGGTGGCGAATCTCCACACAAATATGGAGATATATTGATAGATTATGAATGGGTAGAGAAGACACATCTCAAAATCACGCAGCAAAATGAGATCCCAAGTAAACTTACTTATCAGAATGCATACATCCTGCTTTTTGTTAGAGAAATATCAGGCTTCATTAGATAACCAGATGTTTCTAACAGATTCACACATAATTGGGCTTCCCAGATGGCATTAGTGATAAAGAACCCACCTGCCAACAGAGGAGACATAAGAGATGCAAGTTCAATCCCTGGGTCAGGAAGATCCCCTTGAGGAGGATATGGCAACCCGCTCCAGTATTCTTGCCTGGAGAATCCCATGGACAGAGAAGCCTGGCAGACTACAGTTTGTAGGGTCACAAAGAGTCGGACACACCTAAAGTGACTTAACATGCATGTGTAATTGCAGTGAATAAAAGTATCTCTTAGGAATACATTTTAAAAATTCCTTGATATTAAATATTTAAATTACTGTTTGTTTACATTTTTTAGGCTTAAGATAAATTTCTGGGATAGAATTTAAAGTTTAGACTGATTTTAGTCATAGAATTATAATATGATTGGCCTAGAAAAGACTGGAATCTCTTGTCCTTTTCTTCTTTTCTTTATATAAATGAGAAAAGTATAATTTTCCTAAGGGATTTAAGTAATATACCTAGGGTCACACACTTGGCGAGCTGCAGATTGGAGATTTAAATCACACTGTCTGTTCCTACTTGGTGGCTCTGTTGAGTACTATGGTGATAAATGCTCTCTTTTCCTAAATTACAGTCTGGTTTTATCTTCGTTGATGCTTCTTACCTTTGTTCTCAGTTCATCAGATGAGGCTAACTGAACTCTTACAAATGGCGTTCCCTTTCCTTTCATGTAAATTAAAAATGACTGACTGGGGAAAGTTGAACAGAAACCTCTGAGGACTTTGTAAGTAGTTTATCACTTTTACTTACTGGTGTAAGTAAAAAAAGGTTTGAGGTTTTTTTTCCCTATGTAAAAAGAGAGAGAGAAATTGAATGAGAAATGAAATAAGAATGATTTAGAAAGAACTTCAGCTCTAAAATACACCATTTGCTGTTTCACAAATCATTTCTTCCATGTGCTAAGGATGATTGCATTGAGTCCTCAGTGGGAGCAGTAAGACAAACAGGCTTGAGAACCAGGAGCCCGTCTGCCTCCATCCTGACAGGTGTAGCAGAACTGGACTTGGGCTGGGGCAGGAGGAGGCTGGGGGTGGACAGGGCTTTCCAGGGCTTCCCATGAGGGGACACACAGTAGGCGGGGCAGGGAGAAGAGAAGGAGGGACCAGCTACACTGTTCACTGGCTCCACCATTTCTCCCTACACTCACCCTGTATACTTATATGTGATGTCTGTCACTTTATGGGGTGGGTCACAACTCTTAAGTGTGATAATCTGAGGACATACCCCCAGAGTGGTGAGCCCGACTTCCAGGCCCATTTGTAAGGACCATCCCCCAAAGAGGAGAGCTGATTGTCCAGGCAGGAGGGGCAACAGAATAGAAGCAGTGAAACTGGAGCTGAATATCGAGGTAGACAAAGCAAGAAGGCTTTGAACACACAACAGAGAAGGAAGAGGCTGAAGGCAGAGGCTAGTTGATTCAGCCTCCAGACAGGCTTGGCCGGTTTTCGCCATAGCACAGCAAGTCAAGTGATGGGGCAGCTTCTCCCAGGCACCTGAATTCCTCAGCCAAGATGGGCCTTGCCCAAGGATGGGACTGGCCTGCTGGCTCAAGGCTGGAATGGGAGAGGAGAACTCCTCACCTTCTGCTCAGGTGGGCTGCTATGGGTGTGTCCAGCCCTGGAATTCCAGTGAATTCTTATCTTCGGGGAAGTCTTTTTTAGAGGAAGCTCTCTGGGGCATTTGGCTTCTCTGAACTCAGCCTACTGGGGACCCCAGCTTTAACCTGCTCCTCAGACTAATGCATAATGTGGTAGACATCATCAGAGAGGTATACAACCTAAGCCTAAAAAAATACAAGGTGCCAGGTACCCAGAAAACTGCCTAAGGTTACACTGAGGAAAGCCCTCTTTGAGATGAGATCAGTTTGTCACCTGGCTTAGGCTTTTCCAGGGGATGTGGCATCAGGGACAAGGGTTTAGGCCTGAGGAGAGGAAGCATCAGGTTGTTTGACAGGCAGGTTAAGGAGCTGGCCTGCTTCCGAGTCAGCACTGACCCCACCGCGCTACTCCATGTGTGCTCCTGTGGCTTATGCTTAAAATGCAGACATCTGGAAACACTCTGACATGTTATCATGGAAACACTGTCCTGTTATCTTCTCCCAAGTGATTTCTCGTATAAATCAGTAGACACTTGGGTTGACACTTTAATGTACTTTCCATACAGCTTTTGTTTCTTTTCTTAATCCGAGAGCCTGACCTCCAAGCCCATGTGATGCCAGGAGTGGAGAGTAGTCTTCCCACTGCCTCATCAGTGATGAGTCCTATGGCAGAAGGGAGGATGCACTTTCTTGCAAGACAGCCTTTTTTTTTTTCATTTATTTTTATTAGTTGGAGGCTAATTTCTTTATAATATTGTAGTGGTTTTTGTCATACATTGACATGAATTAGCCATGGATTTACATGTATTCCCCATCCCGATCCCCCCTCCCACCTCCCTCTCGACCCAATCCCTTTGGCTCTTCCCAGTGCACCAGGTCCGAGCACTTGTCTCATCCATCCAACCTGGGCTGGTGATCTGTTTCACCCTAGATAATATACATGTTTGATGCTGTTCTCTTGAAACATCCCACCCTCGCCTTCTCCCACAGAGTCCAAAAGTCTGTTCTATACATCTGTCAGTGCATTTGGATTTTGTGATAGTTAAACTACTGTTGGCCTTTATTATTCTGTACCATGCTTTACTTGTATTGTTCTAATTGATTCATGGCACATTGGTGAGACAGTTGGGAAGTGTCTTTTTGGTTAAGTGACCATTGGCTATGTGGTCGTGGAGCTGAATTTAATCTAGCCTTTGCTTTCTGAACTCAGTTTAGTTTTTGAACTTTGCCATTGCATTTGGTCTATGGACTTAAGCTCACTGTTTCTAAAGGGAAGTGCTATTCAATCTTTCCAAAATCAGCTTGTCAATAAACTCTGAGTATCCATTTTTAAACTGAGGATTGCTGGTGCTGCCCTGATCTCTTATGAAGAGTTGTTTCTCTATGGCCATTCTATCACGTCCCAGTTGTGGCGGCTGGAAGTCCAAATAAAGGTGTTCACAGGGTTGGTTTCTTTTGATGCCTCTCTTCTTGGCTTGCAGACGACTGTCTTCTCATTGTGTACAAAAATGGCCTTTTCTCTATATGCCTGAATCCTTGGCATCTCTTCTTGTTCTTATAAGGACACCAGTCCTATTGGATCAGGACCCAACTCTAAAGACCTCATTTAACCTTAATTACCTCTCTAAAGGCACAGTCTCCAAATACAGGGAGTTAGGATTTAAACAAATGAATTTGGTGAGGGGACACAAGTCAGTCCATAACAGAGACCCACTGTCTCCTTGGGCTGACTTGACAAAGTCTATCCCAGCCATCTGCTGCACAGTCCTTGTGCTCCAGCAATAATAGTCCATCTGTCTATCTGTTAACTGTGATTACACACACACACACTCGCTTCCCAGGTGGCTCTAGTGTTATTAAAAAAAAAAAAAAAACAGCTGCCAATGCAAGAGACGTAAGAGATGCTGGTTCAGTCCCTGGTTCAGGAAGATCCCCGGGAGGAGGGCATGGCAACCCACTCCAGTATTCTTGCCTGGAGAATCCATGGACAGAGGAGCCTGGTGGGCTACAGTTCACAGGGTCACAAAGAATTAGACACAACTGAAACAGCTTAGCACACATGCAGGCATATATACACATATGTATATATTCAGTTAAAAATATTGTTTTTATTTACATGAACTTGATCATTTATATACAATCCAATAAACCAACTTTATACTCATCCATTATAATACTAACCATGAAACACTAGAGATTTTTAGAATGAGGACCAAACTAAGTATAAATGAGGACCAAACTTTTTAACATTTAAAAAATACACAAATAGTATACCTTCCTTGGAAATAACTTATAAACAAAGAGGAAAATATCATTTGTAATTCCACCACTCAAAAGAGCCTCAGGAACTTGTCAAAAAGAAGGGCTTTTGATTGCCCCTGGCCTTGGAGGTGGCTTTTGGAGTAAGGTTAACAAGTGTCCTGGGGAGGGGGTGGCCAGCCAGCCCCTGGGCTCCACAGGCCTCAGAGCCAGTCAGCACTGTGGCTTTTACACAGAAAGTGCCCGATAAATGGCCGCCAGGTTGATGAAAGTCTAGCCAAAAACATTCTGGTTTTCAAATTCTAAATGGCCTTTCTATAAAAAGTTTGCTTTTTTTTTTTTTTTAACATTTCACTGAGGGATAAGAAAGCTCAAATTATAAAGATGCTGACTCCAGATTTGCACCTTTCAACTCAAGTGTTCAACTCAGAGGTCACACTCTGGGTAAAGCACTCCAGGGAAAGAGTCTGAGAGAAAGTAAGTAAATTAAATCTGACCCATGAGCAGAGTGAATGAAGGCAGTGTGTTGAGCATCCAGTAGGTTAGAGATACCTGGGATTGGCAAGGAGGGTCCAGGTTTTCCCCTACTTCAAGCAGGAAAATAACCCCCAGCCCACACTGGTTGAGATGCTGGCCAGAGAGAGAAGCACAGCCCAGGTGGTCTCCTCCACCACCCAGAGGGCTGCCCTCCATTACACTGGCCGCTGTTCAGACATAATCAGAAGTTCCTTGGTTATTCTGTACAACAAACTGACGTCAGGGTGTTTGCCTTTCTTGGTCTATGCAGAAAGCAAAGTTCAGGTTGATTAACAGGCAGATTAACTCTACT